AGGAAGGAAGGAAGGAAGGAAGGAAGGAAGGAAGGAAGGAAGGAAGGGAGATAATGAGAGTGAGAGAAGATCTGAGGGAAGTCCTGCCTTAGCACTTGGCCATCACAGGTGCCCCCAACATGAGAGATGTCAAGCTGGCCATGCCCATCCTGCCCCCCCCCCCCCCCCCCAGGCCAAACACAACCCTGATGCAGCCCTCAAAGAAATCGAGTTTGACCCCTGATCTTTGTGATCGCTTGGAGTCAAAAACAACTTGGTGCACATAATAGAAAAAAAACAACAATCCAGATTAAAGCTGGTGCAGCTACAAGGGCTCGTGTCCAGATGTGAGGAAGGAAGAGAATGAACACCTGGTGTCTGATCTATTACCCAGGAAAGTGTTACGTTTCTTCTAGACCACAGCGGGATGGTGGAACTTGAGAGATGCAAGAAGAGGGGAAGTGTGATGGGATGCGATCTGGATTCTGGGAGGGAGGGGAGTGCACTCCAAGGAACGAGAGGCAATCCCTTTCACCTCAATTTGTGTGAGAGAAAGAGGGGGAACACAGCTTCTCCCTAACACTCCCCAGAGTATATGCTTTGTGGGAGTGCCAGCACTTTTTATTTTGGTTAAGATTTCTATCTATGGATATATACATGATAGCAGTCTTCCAGTACTTGAGGGGCTGCCCCGAAGAACAGGGTGGGTCAACCTATTTTCCAAAGCACCAGTTGTGGGACCTTCATCTCTGGAGGTTTTAAAGGAGAGACAAGACAGCCACTTGTCTGAAATGGTACAGGGTCTCCTGCTTGAACAGAGGGTTGGACTAGAAGACCTCCAAGGTCCCTTCCAGTTCTATTCTGATTGACGGGATGAGGGACAATGAAGACATCTGGGCCTTTCTTAGTTTTTGGAGCCTGACAGGTAGGTTGGACGAACAAACAGTAGGGGGTGTCTCCTTCTCAACAGAAAGGAAAGAGAATTCCTGTAAAGCCAGGAAAACTCAGGTGTGAATCAATATCTTCAAGAATGCCAGCTATGAAATTAAGTACTTCCGGCAGCATTCAACCTTTGAAACTTTCTTCTGCCAGCCAGGCTGCAGGAATATATTTGATCACTATGATCTTGCTCCATGCCTACGCTACAATCCTACAAGTTTCGCAGACGTTACTGCCAATGCTTAAGAGGTGACGTTCAATTTCTAGAAGAGAGCCAGATCTGCCCAGCCCTGCGCTCCACACGCCTCTGGAAGTTGAATAAAATTGAGTAATTTTAGCCAATAATCACTTGAGCTCCTCGCGGCCATGCAATTCTGGCACTGTGCAGAAGAGAGTCTCACCACAGGGTGACAAAAAGAAGCGGATCTAATGAGATTTGCTTTCTCTGAACATCAAGGAATCCTTTTTGCAAGGGCTTAAGGCCATTAAATCCCCGGCACATATAGTTTAGCACAAAGGCAGAAAATGAAAAATGAAAATGCAAAACTGCATTCAATAGAAAGGCAGACAGCCACACGGCCCACCGATGAGAGAGCTGGTACACTGAACAATACTGAGCAAAAGGATGGGTCTTTGTTTTGTCTCCAAGCATCCCACTATGTTCCTCACAAGCAGACAGGAAGGTGTGCCACAAGCTGCATCAGGAAGATCAGAAAGTAATTGTGGGATTGAGATCAGTAGGGAGAACAGGACATTGAAAGAGTGTGTTGGGAGAACAGCCTGCTGGGAGCAAGAATGATGGAAAACAGCCCTGGCCTCTGAGTCAGCAGGCTGTCTTATTGAGGAAAAGCCGGGGAGCATCCAAATGATCGCTCAGGGAAGGCACAACGCACACAACGTCTATCTTCAGCTTCAATCCTGAGGTTGTAGTAACATTTCCATCATTCCTACAAGGCTGAGAATGGATCCTTTTCTGCAAAGTGCTGATGAAAGGTAGCCCACCAGAGCCCCTTCCCTGATGGACCTCAGGATTTTGTCACCAGTGGGGTCTCATTTGTGACATAACTCCCGCGTGCATTGGCTAATCCTTGCTGTATTGGCTACGGAATGGGATGATAACTCACTGCAGCCAACTCACCATAGGCCAACTCAACTCAGGACAACTTGCCCTGGCCAACTCACCATAGGCCAACTCACTACGGCCAACTCAACCCAGGACAACTTGCCCTGGCCAACTCACCATAGGCCAACTCACTGAGGGACCATTCCATAATTCAGTATAATTATTTAAAATAATAAACAAAAATTAATTTCTGTCATTCACATTTCATTTTGTCCATCTTTCAAATCCTTCCTTTAATAATTCTATTCCGCTATTTTTTTGATATTAGTGTAACTCTTGTCCCACAGCGAGTTGGCCACGGTGAGTTGTCGTAGACCCTATTGGCTATGTCTTTTTATATATTCATTTTACTAACACATATATGCTTGGTGCCTTTTTTCCCTGTTAAGATTTTTATAAAAACCATACATCCCCAAACTATAACATTTAAAAATCTATAAATATTGAAGCTTAAGTGTATCTTAGTTTGCATAGCAGTTTGGGAAATGCAAATTAAGTCATTAAAAATTCAAAAGAATCCTCCCACCAAAACATTACCCATCTTTAGTGACCAGAATAGGGATAATGCTGCCATCAAATTCCTCCAAATGAGAGCCGTGGTTTTCTTTTTCAAAAACGCACAGCAGCCTTGTTGATCTTTTTTGAAGTACAGATCTGTGAGCAGCTGTTTGCAAGTAGATAAGTCATAAAGATTCTTATGGATGCAGAAACCGAGAACAGCCTGGGAAGGTTTTTCCCTTATAGCCCAATTCGGTGCCAGCGGTCCATATCAAAGTCCCCCCAGCCCCAATGTAGACTGGCCCTCAGCCAAGACTACAGTGCCAAGGGGTTGGAAGACGCTTAGTGAGAGATTGAGGATGGAAGTCTTGACATGTGAGAAGCTGCAAGCTGTTCTACACCACATCAAGGGGGCTCTTTTACTGACAGAAGGCACAGATGATCCATAGCTGTCAAAAGGCAACAGGAAGATCAGTCGATGCCCCATGGTTAGAATGCAAGGAAACCTCTGCTAATCCAGACAGACGAAACTGCCAGAAAAACTGGAAATCTCTTTGCAACAAATAAGGAAGACAGAAGAGGCCCCATTTTTCTCTTTGAAAAAATTGGAACGGAGGCTATATGTCTGTGTGTGTATGCAGGGGACTTTTAACATAGCATCTGGCCCAAGTCAGATGTGGCACTGGGATACATTTCTGCATTCAAAGTCATTCTGCACAAAGCTGTGAGAATGTTTCATGTACGTATTAGGGAAATAATCCTCCACATTTACGGTATCTGAGGGACTGCCTCTCCTTAATTACACCAGCCCATCATCCCATTAGAACTGGCGGAGAAGGCATGTCACAGGGACCCTCTGCCAGGGACCTACAGATGGTTGGTCCCAGGAACTGCACCTTCTCTACCATGGGGCCCATCCAGTGGAATATTTCCTACCCCCAAGTCAGGTTAGTTCATCATTTTCTGAAAGTCCCTCAAGACCTGGTTATGTCTTGGGATCATGGATTTCCAAGACCCCAGGGAGTCTTCAAACTTGACAGCTTGAAGACTTGTGGACTTCAACTCCCAGAATTCCTCCTCCAGTCATGTTAGCTCAGGAATTCTGGGAGTTGAAGTCCACAAGCCTTCAAGCTGTCAAGTTTGAAGACTCCATGGGTTATGGCATCCCAGGGAGCTGCAGACATTTTTAGAGGGCTTCACTGTGCTTGATCTTTTGCTCTCTTCATGTGGTTTGTGTGTTTTAATTTTTAGAGGTTTTTGTATTTTAATATGGCTTTTCATATTTTTATAATGATGGTTTCTCTATATATGTTGTTTTACTTATTGTTGCACAATGCCCAGAATCACTGTTTATGGGATGGGTAGCACATAAATGTGATTGATAATTGAATAAATAAAGCCACAGCATTCCAAGCAAGTTGGGCAGGGCAAGGGAAGAAAGCAGTTGTCACACAAACACGGAGGCAACAAAGCAGGCAGGCAGGCGGACACGCGCACACACACACACACACACACACACACACACACACACACACACACATCATAGCTACAGCAGCACCGCACACCGAAATAGAATAGCCAGGGAGCCTCTTCACCCTGGACTCAGGGCTAATTAATAAGTTTTCCACTGGCATGTTGTTCTTTGCACTGCAATATAACTCATTTGTCTCACAAAGGATTCTCCTCTGGAACGCTTCGATGTGCTTCAAATACTGCAATCTATCATAAAATGCTAAAATGCTCCACTCTTTTGGAATAAAGTGATTTGATTCACAAGTCTTTGTTATGGGTTTGTACACAGAATCGGGCTTCTTTTTCTTCTGCTTTCTGCTACCATGAAAAAAAAAAATACAATCGAAATAAGATCATCTGAACTGGGAATGGCGGGCTCCTATTTTTGTTTATTAGATATTTCAAATAATTAGTCAATTGGGGATTCATCCAAACATTTCAAACCCAGAAGATAACTTACTGGCTGATTTTGTCAAAAGACGCTTCCCTGGTCACGCTTCCGCTGTCGGTGTTAATTCCTCGCTGGAAAAAAGAGAGCAAAACACAAGTTCTAGAGCAGCTGCTCAGTTTAGAAACAGCCAAGACAAGCCTTTCACCCAACCAGTTTTCTCCCTTCCCTGGGAGATGAATTTGGTCATTCCCCTTGCCTCCTTCTTGATGCCAGGTTGGGTAAGATGGATAGATATAATACCCACTGACCTAAAAGGAAGACAGCCATGCATTTTAGACAATCTGCTGCATCTCTACAAAAATGTCTAATTAGAGCATCCTTCATTTTATCATATTTTTAATGAACTTACAATGACTCTGCGATTTTAAAGTGAATCATTTGGGAGGAAAAGCTGCTCTCCCTTTTCAGACAAAGACCTCTCCTGTGGCTTTCTCTGCAGGCTCCAGATGGAGCAAAGAGGACTAATAATAGGACGAAGGAATCCCAGGTGTTCACTTCCATCTGGATGGAAGAAGGCATTGATGAGGCAAGCACCAAGCAAGCTAAAGGCACCTCCGTACAAAATACAAGCTGCATATTGTGTTATTCTTCTGCCTTCTGCAGTTCAAAAAAATTAATCAGGCTTGTTTTTGGTTCAATCTTGTTTTGCAGGGCAATTGGTAGAGCCCAGGAGGAAGAGGGGAAATGATTTTTTTTCTCCCCACAGCTGGTTTTCTGACACAATGGATGATTGCACTGAATGGGGAGGGCATTAGCAGGTAGAATCCTTTCACCCTAAAGAAGGGAAAAAGTAAACATCTGTTCTGCACACCTGTGAAGACGGGTTGCCTTCAGAAGCTGTGGGTGCTCCCTTGCTGGAGGTTTTTAAGAAGAGACTGGACAGCCATCTGTCTAGAATAGCACAGGGTCTTCTGCTCGAGCAGGGGGTTAGACTAGACGACCTCCAAGGTCCCTTCCAACTCTGATATTCTGTCATTATTAAGGGGCAAATCCAGGGATTGCAGCCATTCTTCTTCTTCCTAGCATATTCCTGTAGGTGCAGGGTCCGCTTTTCAGATTATTGAACACCATTTTGCACCATCAGCTGCGTCTCCAGGGTGCAGGCCCACGCGTGCATCTCTTTGTTGGTGGTGTTTTGCCATCTCTGTTTTGGATGCCCACGAGGTTGCCGGCCATCGACTTCTAGTCTTGACCATGGTGGGAGGTGGAGGTGTCCATACCAGCGGAGCCAGCCTTCTCTCCCCTTCTCTATAATTGGTGCCACACTAAAATGCTGTCGAATAGTGTCATCTGTGATGTGGTCAAGAAGGGAGATGCCCGATATCCAATGGAACATTTGCATTTCCATGGCATGCAGATAATCTTCGGTCCCTGATGTTGCTGCCCAGCCTTCAGGGCCATACAGTGCAATGGAATTCCAGCCATCATCATTATATTATTATTATTACTATTATTATTACTATTATTACTGTTGTTGTTGTTGTTGTTGTTGTTATTATTATTATTATTATTATTATTATTATTATTATTATTATTATTATTTCTATGAAACAGTGAAATTCAAGCAGTTTTCCAATACTTGACACTTGTATTCTCAAAAGCTACAGTATGAAGATCCTTCAACTAAGACAATTTGACTAGCACCTTGAATTTGCCCCCAAGCAATTTTGCAAAGGCCCAGAAATCTACAAGCATTCATAAATCATTGTGTTTCCGGGATAAGCTAGAAGCAGAATTGCATCTGGTTTTTCACCATTTAGGCCCTAAGTGAAACAAGACACCCTGTTATATCCACTGCCTTCAGTGCTACTGGAGTTCCGTCTAAGAAGCCCTCTTGTTAGTCTCTTGTAATTGGATTAACAGGGCAGGGCAGCCCGCATTCAACGGCCTCTTTGAGTGAGGGGATGTCATTTTTCAAATCAATCTTCCATCTCCTGGTAGAATACAGCTAGTCCTCGACTTTTGACCACAACTGAGCCCCAAATTTTTCTTTGAAGATGTGTCGCTTCTCATCCAAGAAGCTTCTTTAGCTCTGACTGGATGGTGGGGAAGGGAAAGATTTATCCTCTTTGCAGACAGCTGGTCATTTGCATCCTTTTAGAGGGTCGTTGAGGCCACTTGGAGGTTTATCTGTGTCCTCAGGGTCTGTCGAGTGGTGCAAATCGGTGTGGAGCCTTCTTGGAACTGCTGAAAGGACTGTGTTGTAGACTGGAGACAGATCGTGCTGATTGAATGGTGGGGGAGGGCAGAAGAAGCTTCTTGGATGAGAAGCAAAACGCCTTCAAAAAAAAACCAGAAAGTCCAGTTGCCTCTTGAAAAAAAACACCTGTGGGGTGCCCTTTATATTGTAGAGGTCAGCAATGGGTTTGTTTTTTTTCCTACCAAGGTCCACACTACAGGGCCAGAGTGGGTGAAGATAAGGCTGGGTGGGACCAGTAACCCTGTGCACACTTACCTACACTCAGACAGCCACTTCTTTCTCTCTTCCCATAGCAAGTTGCCAGGAAAGGAGCAGGTGGCTTTTTTTTTCCAGGAGGTAGAACCGATTATTTCCAAAGGAAACTGGGTGGAAGACTTCACAGGAAGCCAAGGGAGCACACTGGGTACTACTAGTTTATTGCAAGAATAAAATAAAAAGAAGAGACTAATGCATTTAGTAAAATGCACTGGAGAAGCATACCTCTAAGTCATATCTTGACACCAGGGAATGCATCTTAGCACTTACCAGAGTAAGAAGAACCGAAGGGTTTTTCGAAGCCAAAACAGAGGCAATCTGACAAAATAAATGAAAAGAGAATCATCTCCGCTCTGTTCTATCAACTTACAACAGCCCTGGGATCCAGGCTGCCCTGATTCCGAACTGTTTCCCCGCTCGTTCTCAAATACTCTCTATTTAAATATTCTATTTGACATCAATAAGGACAACACTGTCTCCATTTTCTCAAAGACGCCAACTCTTTGGGCCCAGTTTGTGTTCTGCTTTTTCTCTAGGAGGTTTTAGTATTATATTATTATTTAAGCGTGTAGTAATAAAGCAGCATGTTGAGCTATAATTCATATTTTTTTTCTTCTGCTTGAGTCTCCCATCATTCACCAAAAATTATGACTAGTTCTTAATATCCACCCATGTTTGATTTTTATGAAGGTTTGTTAAATACCTGCCAGTGGCCTCAGTTCATATCTAACCAAACCATCAAACACAATGTTCTGACCCAGCCCCGCAAACTCTGGCGTGAATTCAAAATATTCCTTTATTAGGAGCGCCGGCAGCCCCGGCAAAAATTTCTCTCGCAGGCTAACAAATCCAGCCAGCTGGAAGATGAATAGTTGTCTCCCACACATATTCCTCTCCACCTCCTGCCTTTTGTCCCCAGAGCTAGGTGGGGCTTCACTAGCAGCAGTGGCTCTTCCGTCCCAAGGACCGGCCCACAGATTAGCACTGCTCTCCTTTCCTCTGCCTTCTGCACTTCAGGCACTGGGCCCAGCTGTTCCTCCTCTTCCCCATCAGCTACCTCCAGACCTGGGGGCTGCTGACTCTCCATCTGAGGGCTGACAGACAGCCCAGGTTCTGCCTCTGTCTCTGTCTCTGTCTCTCTGTCTGTCTGACTGACTCTCTCTCTCTCTCTCTCTCTCTCTCTCTCTCTCTCTCTTTCTCTGCCAGCTCCATTCCTTCTTCCTCCTCGGAGCTCCCAGGTTGCCCTGATGCTGACTCTGACTCCCACGCCTCCTGCTCCTCCAATTCGGCTACAAACAGGGGAGGGGTGCACTTGTCAAAATCAAACGTCATTATGATTTAGATACATTAGGGTTTAAATCCACAGCTGGATTGAACAAGATGCAGTTATAGAACCTGGGGACACCACACTGGGGAAAACTGGCTTCTTGCAATGCAGGAATCCAGTCCATGTGTACTTCATCAATCTTAGAAATTCCTCCAACTTATCAACCCTTCATTCTTGCATGGAAATAACTTTTTGGGGCTACCTGTTGTTTCTAATGAATTCACTATGAGTAAGATGGAAATTGTGAAGATTTCTACACACAGGAAGTCACTGAAATATTGCTTTAGAAGTTTATACTATACTCGAATTTCTCTCGAATCAGAATAAAGTTTTGTGCTCTGATTGAAAATATATTGTCTACCTGCTTAACCAAGTATTATTAATAAAACTATTTGGTGCCATAAATGGACTTCCACACTGCAGTGTTGCCAAAAGGAGCCATAGAACCTGAAAAGTATCTATTGATTCACCACCATTTATATACAACTGCAAGGTTAAAAAAAAATCAATCAGTGGAAACTCAGACAAAGTATTGACTAAAATTTTGCTAATCTGGCTGCAATCCTATTTATAACTTGTCCATCAATGTAAAATTTTTCAAGCTGGGAGCAGAGGGTGGTGGAGGAAGAGGCAATTTAATACAGCAGTCAATTCAGCAAAAGGAATAGTAAGCAGAAAAACAAATAGTCTCCCAAACAAGAAGAAATCAATTAGGTACATTAAATGCAAAGAGTCTGTGAACAGACAGCTGTTTAGAGCTGCTTTTAAGAAGAGGTGAAATACAGAGGATCCAAAGAGAGATGCTGTAGGGTCCTGCCTCTCTCGGTGATGGGTCTGGAAATCTCTCCTGTTTCTGAGGGATGGAATGATGTTTCTATTTAACAATATTTGAACTCAGGACATGCGCATGGATTTGTCCACTAAGGCAGCAGTCCCCAACATTTGGGGCTCAGCAGACTGGGTGGGGGAGGAGAACCGGACTGCACAAGCGATGGCCCCGCAGAGCTCAACTTGCTCATTTTGAGCTGTGTGCATGTGTGCATGCACACTGCCCCACTGCTCGCACAAGTCAAGCTGCATGTGTGCACACTGGCCCACCGCTGGCACAACCCAATTCTGAATAGGCCACAAAGAGTAGTGGGCCACGGCCCAGGGGTTGGGGACCTTGCATTAGAGATTCCAAGGGCTGCAAAAAGCACTGGAAAAAGTGATGCAATGGACAACGCCTCCCCTATGAATTAGTTCTGTCCACAATCCATGAAAAACTGGTGGCAGGATAGGGCAACAAAGTCCCAATCCTCTAAAAGGGCACCAGGTCGAGGAAAGAAATGTGGCCTCCTTATTTCCACATGTTAAAGGACAATTACCTGCCTTACACTTTTCCAAGGAGGAAGCGCTATAATGGTACATAGCACCCCTGACAATTTGCCAATGGTTGTGATACGAAGTGCAAATTCCTGGCTGTCATCCACTCTTGCAGATAAGGAATCCTTAACTAGCATTTTGGTATCTGACACCTGAAGTCAGATAAGGCGAACCACTCTCGATTCCAATCCAGATAAGCTGCCAGCCGCCTTTACAGACAGCACAGGGGATGATGAGATTAGAAAGAGACTATTTCACAGGCCTATTTGTTTCAAGGATCAAACTGCATTGGAGATGTCAACTGGAAAGTGGAATTTTTCAGACAGATGGTCAAAGTGGAGGCTCCGAGAAGGAAACATAATTGTTTAAAGGATTTTTTTGTGTTTATAAATGGTCTCTCTCTGCCCAGTGGCCAAATCTGGGAAACTTCGACCTGTTAAGGAAAAATTATATGCTATAAAAAGGGAAAGGAGTGGGGGAAAAACAAATGCATATTTAATTGAAAAAGTGAAAAGAAAAAGGGAGGGAGGGAGGGAGGGAGGGAGGGAGGGAGGGAGGGAGGGAAGAAAGAAGGAAGGCTGGCTTAATTTATAAAAGCCTGGCAGAAAACACTCATCCGTGTCCTTTTCTGGGAGGGAGGAAACTTCTCCCCTCAAAATTAGGACTGAGGATTTGAAGTGAGCAGATGCATCAATACTTTGCTCTTAAGGTAAAAAAAAATACTCTTTTAAATTATTTCTATATTTGGGGTTTTCCAACACCCCTGTATTTATTTGACCGCAGAGTTGAAGCAACACAGAAATTATAATATTGCCATTGGAGAGATAGAATAAAAAAGAATTAAAACAAATCTTTTAAAAAAGCAGCTGCCAAGGAAAGTGCTTGGCACACATTAGATTTAATGAGAGATAAACCTACTAATACAGAATTCTAATTTCTTACATCCCAAAGCCACATAAAACAGGGCAGAATTATCCCGAATAAAAAAAATCCCCTGTCCAATCCCAAACTCTATAGCATCATTTTCAAACCTTGGTAACTTTAAGATGCACGGACTGGTGAAATTCACTTCCTGGCTGGGGAATTCTGTGGGAGTTGTGGTTTGTACATCTTAAAAAGTGACCAAGATTGGCAAACACTGCTGTACAGGAATCAGGTTCCTCTACTACATCATTCTAGGCAAAAGTCTGCATTTCAGAGCAAGCCCTGAGGATGCCAACTTCCCAGCCAGTCACCTTCGGAGGAATCAATCTCTCCTTTCTGCTGAATTCCAAAGTCCCTGATATGTTGGTGTTTTCTGGGATATGAAGTTCTGATGGCAGTTGGGAGTTATGGCTCTACTGGGAGTAATCCATCCCAAGAAGCTGGGTTGAAACTCTTCCCATTTGGGGAGGCCTACTTGACTTCCATCATACTTCAGACCATCTCAAAATGTCCAGACTGGCATGGCCCAGCATGTTGTATCATTTGTTAGAAAATTCCATTGTTCTCTAGAATATTCTGAGCATCCCATGAAGGAGTATATTGCCCATTACCCCTAATTTCTGACTTCAATTCTCCTTTTCCAAATAAGCCAATTCCACTGATGCCATTTAATTCTGGCTTTTACAGTAGCCCAGCTTGTGACGTGGGTGGAAGGGGGAAGGCAATCACATAAACATTCGGGGCCAAATCCTCTCGGAACCTGGTCGAATTATCTTAGACCAGGGTTGTCCAACCTTGGTAACTTTAAGACTTGTGGACTTCAACTCCCAGAATTCCTCAGCCAGCTTTGCTGGCTGAGGAATTCTGGGAGTTGAAGTCCACAAG